GGGCGTAGAACCTGGCGCACATAACTTTTTTATATGTACACACCATTTATACATGAGGCCCCAGATGAGCTTTTTTATTTTAAGACCTGGAGGGTTGAACTTCTAAAAAGTAAAGAGGATTGGTCTAAGCACTCCACCCTGAGGAACTCCATGACTAACTCTGGTGTAAAAAGAAAAGTCATTATTAACATTTCATGATTTTACATAATTATACGTTTACACATAACAATTTTTAAATTTGATATTGATTGATATTTGATGATTGTGTGTACGCACCGTTTATACATGAGGGCCCAGGAGTCCAGGCCCTCTTTAGGCCCTCCAGCGTTCCAGCTGGTACCACAGTACCACTCCYCTTCACACATGAGCTTTAGCTCTCATCCTGTCAGGGAGGTGATGTGTCACATTCCTAAAGTTTTTCATGTCGAGGCCCCACCCGTTCACCTGAGCCTCACAGCTTTTAACAAGAGACAACACATTTAGATTTTTACCTTCAGCCTCACAAATGTAACAGTTTTTACAACTTTTTACCATTTCCTGAAGTAACAATAGAAGAGTACTCCTGATTATCTGATGGAAAAGTTTATTCAAATTAAAAAATAAGATTAAACTGAACTGTAAAAGGTTTGGTTTAGAACATTTATCAGTTATTTTTTTCAACAGGACCATGTCTTCATGTCCAAACAATAAATCAGTATTATTTTCACACCTGGAGCTCTGGTAGATCAATTACAATAAAACAGTTTATATCTGTGAATGCRCTCTTCTTCCACGCCTGCCTAACAGTTTTGTTCAGAACTGTACCTGCTTTAAGGACCACCCTGAGTCCTGTTGTTGTGTGAACAGGAGCAGGAGCTGGAGGCCAGTAAGAAGGACAAGTTGGCCGAGGCCAGGCTCGAGGCCGAAGTTCGGCTGTTTAAGAAGGAAAATGAAGCCCTTCGCAGACACATCGCAGTCCTGCAGGCTGAGGTCTACGGAGCCAGACTGGCAGCCAAATACCTGGACAAGGAGCTGGCTGGCAGGTAAGACCGAGGTCCTGAAGTCAGGTCCAAAGTAACACCATAGTCCTGAAGTCAGGTCCAAGTTAAGACCATAGTCCTGAAGTCAGGTCCAAAGTAAGACCATAGTCCTGAAGTCAGGTCCAAAGTAAGACCATAGTCCTGAAGTCAGGTCCAAAGTAAGACCATAGTCCTGAAGTCAGGTCCAAA